AGCCTCCCAGGAAAAAAGTGTTTCCTGATGTTCAGAGGGAACCTCCTGTGTTTCAGGTCGTGCCCATTGCCTCTGGCCCTGTCACTGGGCACCACTGAAAAGAGCCTGGCTCCGTCCTCTTTCCACCCTCACTTCAGTTATTGGTGCATATTGATAAGATCCCCCTGAGCCTTCTCTTCTCCAGGCTGAACAGCCTCTCAGCCTCTCTTCATATGTGAGATGCTTCAGCCCCTTCATCATCTTCGTGGCCGTTCACTGGACTCTCTCCAGTACGTCCATGTCTCTCTTGTACTGGGGAGCTCAGAATTGGACGCAGCACTCCTGTGTGGCCTCACCAGTGCTTTGTAGAAGGGAAGGATCACCTCCCTCCACCTGCGGGCAATATTTCTCCCAATGCAGCCTAGGACACCGTAAGGCTTCTTTGTAACAAGGGCACATTGCTGGTTCACTCAGCCGTGAAGTGCACGTGGAGTATTAACTCCAGCAGAAGGCAAGACTGGGCAGTAACAGGGAGCTGAAGGAGGACTAGGGCAGATATCCCCTCAATAAAGCAGGTTCACAATGTGGGTAGCAGACCAGGTGGATCCCTGGTCCGATCCAGAGCAGCAATTTCTGCATTCCTATGCTTGCATAGTCTCTTCCTGCCTCTCTCAGTCACACTTGATGCCATTTCTGAGCAATGTATGTGACCTTTTCAGATACTCTACAGCAGGAACATTTGCTTTATCTCATGGACATCGCTTATTTGTGCCTACAGTTCTGTCTATGGCTAGGTGCCAACAAAGGTGATATCACTGACTTGTGGATGATTCTGAAGAAGATGAATCTTTTCTTTTACACTAGGCCCATTTTTAGCAGATATTCAAACTGTCTTCCCCCTCGCCACACACACATGCATTTCCTCCACCTTGTTGACCATTTTTCCACACACACACACAACTGAAAAAAAGGGAGAGATCCCCTTTTTGTGGAAATTTCCTATTGCAATTTTAAAAGCTCACTGCTTGAGATGAGAAACAACCTGTACTCCATTTTTGTCATCAGCTGTAAACGCTTAAACAGCAGGACACAGAGTTAGGAGGTCCTGCCCATCAAAAGACCACTTCTGGATGGCAGCAGATGGTACCCACGGTGGATCTGCACCAAGGGCACCTTTCACAGAGCCTGAGCAGCATACAGATGCTGCCAGCAAGCTGGAAAAACACTCCAGTAAACTTGCTAGAAAAACTTCACCTTGCAAAAAGATGCAAAGTTAGAGTAAATTAGTTAACTTAATTTCAACCCTGTCTTTGGAGCTGCTGCTGCTATTCCACAGAAATACATATTTTTACTTCTGTTATTCTACTTATTTTTATTTTTTTACTATTGCAATAGTAGTATCACACCTTTCTCAACTCTGGCTTGAGTCCTGTCCTGTGCATCCGCTACATTAAACATTTCATTCTCTTTAAGGAGTACCATCTCCCTGTCTGCAAGTCAGCTTTACTGCTGACCTTTCATACACAAGGAATCAGACTGTAAATAAAATCTACATGGCATCAAGTATGTGACAAAGCACCTAAAACATTTTATTTGACATCCATTGAGATGACCTGAACAGCTCACTCATTGCTTCATCATTTCTGATTAAAGCACTCACCCAAATGCACGCCAGTAAAACCCTTTCTGAAACTACGCTCTATTTGTTACATGACAGGGATGTTCACATGACAGACTGAAGGGCACATGACAGTACTAATACATTAGTAACAAAGCATATTACAACCCTATAGGCCTATCCCTCCTGCCTACTGATCTATCCCTCATGAAATCTTTTAACCTTCAAAATCCTGACAAGTTTTTACAGTGCCAAATTGAAAACAGCATCACAGCAGTATTTTTTCTGCCTCTTTCACAGTGTACTTCCCTTCCAAACCTGTCCTGTGCTGTAGCATAAGATAGGTCAGATTTGGTCCACTCCTAGCAAGTGAATTTCTGCAGATAAAAATTCTCCCTCTTCCACTGCAGTGAAGTTGGCTGTTTAAGCACCTGCTGAGCAAAAACTATGAACATCATATACCTGGGAAACACATACCCAGATGCCATCCAGTGGCCCTAGAAGGAATCCAAGGAATTTCAAAGTAATTTTCATTCATACGAAAGTTATTTTAAGTAATTTTAGAGGATTTTTTCCCCCTTTTTAGTGTTTTTAATTTAATTTTGTTCTCACGTCCACAACTGTGTCTAGGTCTGAGGGATTCTAAAGGAAGATCTCCGAATAAAGCTGTCAGTTTTCTAAATAAACTAACCGTTTAAAATTCCTGGCATTTTTAGTGTCACAAACACAATATTACACAGTGTAAGTTTTTTCTAATTGGAGCTGATGTATGTAACTTGGGAGTTTTTTCCCCAGTTATCTGCCAATGCAATCACCACAAATTCATGACAACAAAATGTCCTTACTGAAGTATGAAGTGTTTCTCTCCTTTATACCCAATACTCATATGACAATAAAAAAAGGAAAAGAAAAAGGAATTTATTGACTTGAATTGTATTTAATTGTATTAAGATTCTTCTATGTATTTGCAAGACAGAAAAGCATATAAAAAATACCACAGCTTTTACTGGCACAGTAAAATCATATGATTCCTGCTTGTCTCAAGTATCAACTATAGAGGTCATTTCAAAATGGTGTAACAAGATTTACAGCATTCCACCTTGTATTTTCTTCATACCTATTTTTTTCTTTGTACGCTACTTTATTTTCAAAATTAAATACATTCCAAATCCATAGTTGGATAAAAGCTATAAGCAAGGATCAAGCGCATCATAAAACCAAAGTATTCAGATTTCAGAAGCTGCTTGTAAGGTAATTTTCTTGGTCACTTCTTGTATGCCTACTGGGGGACTGATCCAGAGTGAAATGAAATCAAAAGATCAAAATTCTGGCCTTGGTTAGGTGCAGCAATAAAAGTCTTACTGATTTCAGTAGGGCCAAAATTCCATCTACAAGGATTACTTCCTTTGACCTAAATGTGCTTTGAATCAATCCCTAACAGCCTTTGAGAGGCAAATGGTTTCTTTCATTTGGGATTAACTCATAGTACGCTCTATAGTGTGATTAGATGTTGTTGGGTTTTTACGTCCAATTACAAGGTGATTAAATAATTTGCAAATTCAAAACACCCCTCTACTTTTTTAATAAATTTTTTTTAAAAATCGTTGTTAAGACTTAATTTTAAATGGTTATAAAACACAACATTTTACTTTGACATTGACAACAGAGATGTCTTATTACTGCTTACTGTGGCCAAAATGTTCAAGAACTACTGGAAACATAATTCCACTCTGAGCAGAAAGAAGAACTCCAAAGGCTCTTATCTTTGAGCCTCAATACGGACTTTGCAATAGCTGTTAGCTGAGGTGTTTCTAGCACAGGTTCCTCAATTAGTGTATCCAGTGGTCAGAACACTAAGGACCAGTCAAAAGCTGAAAATGTGAAATTAATGATGTCAAGGTGAGGAAACAGATTTAGCACAGAGACACTGTATCCTGTCTGCTCTCCGTATCGGGGGCATTGGATGCAGATGAACCGTAACACAGGCACTTCAGAAAACAGGTGGCTCTTTAGCCATGCTGACACTGTCAAAATTATCTTTGTATGATACTGCTTCGGTTTAAAAATTGCTTTCAGTTTAAGTAGGACTGGAGGAAAAGTGGGTCAAGTGAAACTTGACCCCGTGCAACAGAAAAACATCTCTGAAGGATTCTCCCCCTTGGAGGGATACATGTTGACCAGGAAGAAAAGATAGCACCAGTCCCTTATGCCTCTGACTGGTTTGAGTCTTCCACCACCAGCGTGAGGATAAAAGCTTTCTTGTGCTGCTATGAGGCTCATCTGACCCTCTGATGAGCTGATTCAGCTAATTAACCTGACCAGGAATTACTCCTTTTTTTTTTTTTTTTTTTTGTATTTGCTGTGTTTGTTTCCTAGAACCAGATGAAGAAAAACAGTGGGAGCACGTGTGCGTGGGTGGAACAACTTTGCCTCTTTCAGCAGCAAGCAACATTTTTAGACCAGCCTGTAAAATCTTAACCTGCTTTTCAAAGATACTGTAGATCTTGACTTCCAAAAGAAAAGAAAATCCTTCAGGGATTTATTAAAAAGAAAAATTAGGAAAGTGTTGTTACTTGACAAGTTGGCTTCGCTGAAGAAACCAGCTTTAAGAAGCATGTTTCCATTCCTCCCCTTCCCCTCACCCACCAGTTTTCCAAAGGAACCAACACCTGCACTGTGCTAATACAATTGTTTATGAAGCCATTCTGCAGGCCAGATCACTGAAACTAGCTTCATTAAAAATCATCCGCCCACCCTCAAAGTTATTCTTCAGCCAGACCATTTAATTGCAGTAGTTCAGAGGATGGCCTTTCAGTCAACAGTAACAGCCAAGCAGGCAGTGAACATCAGCATCACGACCTACAGGCGGAAATTTTTCTTTTTTCAAGTTGGCTCTGCTGTGAAGCCTATGTGACAGACAAACAAGCCAATCATACATCAAAGGTAAGGGAAGCTGCTGACTGGGGACAAAATATGAGCAAGAACGATCTCAGATAATTCTCAGCCAAAGACAAGGCATGAGAAGGAGCTGAGGAACAACAGGCAAAGCTCTAACGCTTTACAACATCCCTGAAACACCAGAGAAGCTTTTAGACTCAAATACATTGCATACATGCATGCAGGACTGGATGCATGTATGCAGTGTGTAACCCTCCAAGAAAAACTTCTGTTTTATTCCCAAATAGACTAGTCACAATTAATAACAATTTCTACGAGACATCTACAAATGGTTCCAGGCCAAAAGAAAAAATAACCCTCAGCTGTAGAACTGCTCTCCCTGAACACTATAGATAACTTCCTCAAGCATCTGGCATTCACTACTGGCTGGGTACAGAAGTGATTTTGTAAGCCTAATTCACACAGTAATGAGCTCAAAAGCAGAAAACCTTCTCAGACTGCTTACCTCTTTTGCACTTTTAATTTTGGCCAAGAAAGTGTACAGTTCCATTGTTTCAGCAAACAGAGCCCGACATACTGCTTGATAGTGGTTTGGTGCCTCTGATCGGGTTGGCAGGTGGGCAGCACACAGCTAGAGAGAAAAATAAACAGCAATATCAAAACAATGCCCCATTGCTTTCATTAATGCTACAGAGCATGAGATAACATGAAGGCGAATGCAACGGAACGTTTAGGGCACAAAAATCCACGAGACATTTAAGTTTAGGCAGAAATTGGGGTGTATTTTCTAAACCTTCTGCTACCATTTATTTCATGAGAAGAGTTCTATAAAGACAGTAAGGGGACTGGTTGACCACATCCTTGAAAACTCTGAAAACCAAGACATTGCCTTTTCATTTAAAAAAAAAAAAAAAAAAAAAAAAAAGTCAGACGACATAATTGTGAAGGGGAAAAAAAGCAATTTTGCAGTATCAAATTTTGGGAAAATGTACTTAATTCAAATCAGCTTTAACAGTAAGTGTTATTTAGCTTCCTATGAATATGGAAGAGAACTGTATCCCTACCAATTTATGAAAGGTTGGAAGGTGAAGCAAGGAAAAAAGTAAAGTGTAATCGTCAAGGTGAAACTCTAATTTAATTTATTGCAAGCAGTACAAAGATTTTAAAAATCAGCAAGAGCCATGGAAGCGCAGGCTTATTGCTTCGCCTCAGACATTCATAAACATTTCCAGACACAGGCACAGCTGATGTCAAGAAACACTGATAGATTGTTTTCACATACACTAAACCTGCAAAACTCTGAAAGTCTACTCAAATCACTAATAATCATTCACAACTACTGTTAAGCAGTCATTCTAGCATTGCTTTTAGAGTAAAACATGCAGCTCCTATTTCCGACAAGAGAAGTTTCACTGAAACCAGCCTTTATATTTCAGAGAACCTGAATGGTATGAGCAACATCCAGCTTCATGAACACAAACATCCAGCTTCTACTATTGTAGAATAGCTCAGCACTGATGCTAATAGTTCTAATACCTTTTTCCCCTAAGTCAAATCCGTCACCTGTAAGTATTCATCACGGAAATCTTGGCTGGAAATGGACAGAACAAAATAACGTCTATAATTTGTTCTCTAAACAGTTTTAAATCAAAAAAACGCCAAAGCTGAAACCCATATCATATCTCATACTGGTGTATATATTAAAATAAAACAAAATCTTAACCAAGCACCCATATCATATATCATACTGGTGTATATATTAAAATAAAACAAAATCTTAACCAAGGCCTTAAAATTTGTCTTGCTACTGTGGTATTATAGTAGCTATTTATTATATACATAGCTGTATTTATAGCTGTAGAGCTAAAACTAAGAACAAGCCAAAACCTGAGGCAGTAGGTGCCTACATTTAGATCTCCAGAACTAAAGCTTGAGACAAAAGCCTCTTTAGGAGAAGAGCCCTTAATTAGCCTAGTGGCATATTTGTCTAAGTCTCTCCTGTTATTACAGTGAACACTGTGGTTACAAGGGGCACAATGCATGTAAAGCTTGGGCTGCTTTTTCACATTGCTTTCAATTTGATTTAAAACCATACTGCCACTAAAAGGTGTGGTCCTATGGCCTCCAGCTGTACGCGTCCACTGATGCCCTTATCCTGGCACCAGAGTTCGTGCCCTAACTCAGAGAGGATTACTCACCCGGACAAAAATTAACAACGTGAAGGAAGTGGAGCAGGAGACAATTATTCTTCATGGCACGGACACATACGTAGTAGCGCAGGCAAAAAGGAGCAAGGGGAATACGCTGCCAGGGTGGGGAAAGGGAGGAAGGGCTGAACAATTGCTTTTGGTTGTAGTCAGATTTTGATTGGCTCAATCTCACTGACAAGTTGCTTTCTAAGGCCCCTTGTTATCTTTTATTTCTTCCAATTAGTATAACAATACAGAGTTCAGTGGTCAGATTTGGTCAACTTCTTTGATAAATTTTTACAAGCACAATTTGGACTCCTGCAATATCCTATTCTAATGATTGTACCCATACATATATCTCCTTTTAGTCATAAAAAAGAATATATATAAGGAAAGTTTATATGTGTGTATGTATATTTTCCTTCCTATATATTTTCCTTATATATAGGGAACGCAAGGCAGACATGTTCACAAAACTGCCCCTGATTCCTCCCTTTCAAATTTTATACTGCTTTATAATGATGGCCAAAATTTTTTCACACTCTTCAAATTTATTTCTTGATAATCACAAGGACATAGTTGAGAGAAAAAACCCCATTTTTTTCTTTTTTTTTCCCTTTCTTTTTCTCTTCCTTTTTCTTTCCCTCTCCCCCCTTTTTTTTTCTTTTCTTTTTTTCCTTTTTAACAAATCATATAATCTCCATTGCAGGTAAAGGGAGAAAAAACGAAACAGATGCACCTCTAATGTGTGCTACAGTGACAACGCATACCACAAAGATAGAAGCTATTAAATATTTCCCTTGACTTAATGAAAAAGTCAGAACATTTAAAAGACCAAATTCTGAGTATGGTTAATTTGTGTTCCTTTCTCTCAATAACTAATCATGTCCTTACCTGCCTTACTATGTTTTCAGTAAGCTATTTCTGGTTATTAATTACAGTACAGATAAAAAGGGTTTCATTCTAAAACACACCACTTACAGGAATAACAATAACTATAAGAATAATAACAACAGCAATTTCAAAAAGGTCATAAAATGGTACAAGTCTTCATAGCTGAGAATAAAATTTTATTATTATACAGATCACACACAGGTTTTTAAGTGCTTTTTTTTCTTTATTTAGAAGCATGTTAATTAGAAACAATTTGCATCAAATATTGAGAAAGTTAACAAAATACAGCAGTGGCAAGTTCAAGCAGGGGACGGATATAATCTTCATTCTATTATTGAACACAAAGTAAAGCAAAAAAAAATTAAACGCCTGCTGCTGAACTTAGTTACAAAAGCAACCACATAAAAAGTTAACCATTTGGTTTGTAAACGTTAGGCTGCATATTAAAAGAGGGCCAGCAGCTCCTACTAACTTTCATGTTCTCAAAAATCAATCTCTGAGTGATCATATATTATGTGGAGATGCATTACATACAAAACCCCCTTGTGGTAACATTAAGTCAAGGGACTCAGCATAAATTTTTGGATTGGGGAAGGTAAGCCTGAAGAAAAAGGAAAATGCAAACAGGACAGACTGATTTTTTTCCCCCTTCATTGTAATATATTGTACTTGCATGTTGTTCAGAGCGCCTGACAAGCTGTAACTTCTACATGAAAAAATACTGCAAAATCTAGGCAGGCAAGGCAAATCAAGTATGAAGTGTCACTTCTAGCCTGAGTTCAGGGTATTTACCCACTTTAAAAAAAAATTAAAAATCACGTCTTTAATTGTATGATTGTAATGTTTAAAAAGCTATGTTACTGTAATACACCACAAAAATCACAGTCAGAATGTTTTAATAATGGAGATATGAAAGGACAGCCACCTAATGAACTCCTCCTCCTCTTACCATGTCACAGCGGTCGCGGTGCAAGAAGGATTACAATCAGGTCTGCAGTCTTTTCCAGCCATTCAGAGTTCATCGAGGAAAGGAAGCCTCTGTATGCTGCTTATTCTGACACCTACCTTTTCATCCCTCATGATACAACTTAAAACTATCCTAAGGGTCATGAACACGAACAGTGCCCAGAGCTTAATACAAGGGCTGTTTGTTCTGTTTCCAAGTCTCAAAAACTATGGTTGAAAACAAATTATGTGGTCTTTGCAAACTGGTGAAGTATCAAAAATCTTATCAACTACTGAAACAGTAACTAGCTCGGTCTGTAAATATTTCATTTGCAATCATTGTGAAGAGCTGGGATTTTTTAATTTTTTTTTTTCCCCAACTGAGCCTACCCAAAACCCAGATTGACCCAAAGCATTCAATCTTTGCTTAGATCTCTAAGAAGATTAGAGACTGTTTCCATCCACATTTAGGGTTCACAGAAAAAAAAGGCATTATGTAAATACCATAGCCTTGCCAGCTCCTTTATCCAAATTCACCCTCAATTGACTAGGAAACAGAGTACACCAAGCCAAAGCAGTGTTAAGAGAAATCACAATTTAACCATCCGAAGGATCAAACAGCATTTCTTTGAATATATTCCATTAAGGGCTCCATAAAATTACAAAAAATACATCTGACTCACACACTAAAATTCAGGTAGGTTTTGCAAAACCTTTTTGGCTAGATATATACTGGAAGCTTCATCAAAACACCTGGCCTGCTGGAATTAAGGTTTCAAAAGACAAAAAGTGTTTCTACTTGCAGTCATCTTGGGCAGAGGGCCTGTATGAATGCACCACAAAGAAGAAAAGGATTTCTTTTTCCCATGGGCCACAAAGACAAGCTATTGATACTATGCAAAACATACTACCAGGCTGCAGATGCCAGGCTGGTTAAGTGTTTTGAAAGCCTTGGAGTATTAACATAGACTTAAAAGATGTACTTTTTCTTAAGCAACAAATAGAAATTATTTAACTAACAGATCACTGAACATGCAACCGTACTAGGTATCTGCCTCATCCTTTGCAGTATGGTACTGCAACAGGTTCAAAAAATAAAACTCAGCTTGAGATGCCTTCTCTAGTCAAGGTTATTTTCTGAAAGATTTTATCTCCATGCAGATAAACTAGACTTTGTGATTAGGATTTTTTTTTTCTAATATATATCCTTTTATTCCTATGAATATGAACTTCAAGGAGCCATCTGCCTTACTGCAAAAATCTTACCAAGACAATACCTGTGTATTTGTAAAACTCAACTGAGCATTTTGCTTCGCTTTATTATCCAGAATAACGTTAAGGGATGGACCGTTCAGAGGAATAAGAAGTGTTTTGACATGAGTTTGTAAGATGTTTTTGCCTGCTAGGACCACCCCTGTGCATAGTGCATGGGACTCAGGCACAGTACAAGTTTTGAGGCAGCTTTCAGGACACCTGGAGCCAGCTCGTCTGCTCCCTACCAGTTCACAACTGTTCTCTCAAACTTTCCAGGAAGAGATTTGCCCCTGGCTCCGCCACTTGTAACTGCAGCGGGCCAAGGACTAGCTAATCCCTCTGATAAAGG